ACATGATCAGATTTTGTGTACTTGGGAGCTGATGTCTGATGAATCATCTGTGGCTGGAACCCTTGATCCCCCAGTTCAAAATTGTGCCAAACATGAAAGAAAACAGATAGTTAGCTCCGTGGTTTCAGTCTATTCTTGCATTTTTATTAACCCTGGGTTGGTTTACTACATCTTGTGGCTGCAAAAGACAGCAGGTAGGATTTGCCTTGGAGGGTTTCAGCCATCTGCTTTGCTCACCCTCCAAGACCAACGGGGTTTGGAGCCAGACGTTCTGGCTGCATGACACTGAGGAGCACAGATGATATCTGCTCCATTTTGTACTTCTCCAGGGAAGSGAAAGGAATGGAATTTGGGTACCAGCTCTCTGAGCCAAATGCCATGAGGAAAYCTTCAGAGCAAACACAGGCATGCTCTGGTTCAATTTGCTGAGTGAAACAAAGTGGATCTGGTTGTCTTTATCTTCAAAAGCATTTTTTTTTATAGCTGGAAATGCTGTTTAATTTGGATMGACTTTAGTCTTACTTTCTGGAAAAAAGGCTCCAGAAATAATTCAGGCAGCTCYATTCAAGCTGTTCTGCAGATGTCAGCATATGCCAGAGTCCAAAATCCAGCACAGTCAGGATATGGTTGTCTAGTAGGGACTCYAGCAAGAGATGCTGGRAAGGTATGTGCTATTTGAGACCGTRACACCAGATTTCCTTTCCTTTAACATATTTATGTGTCCCACATGCCATCTATGTGTTTTCTTCCTGCTGTGGAATARCTTGCTGTGCCTAAGTTTATAGCACTGCACATCCAGATGCCCCTGGAAGAGCAGAAATGGCACATTTGGCCCATTKGATGTCACCATTATCCCAGCCATGTGTTTGATTAATTAGCTAAATATGAACAGGCAATTCCTTCCCCTGAAGCTCAAGCAATGATCCTCTCTGTAAGGTCAGACAAAACAGGAAGAGTGAGAAGCACCAACTCCACCTTAATGGAAGATGGTCAGTGAGGCCTGAGGACTAAGAAAGACTCGGAAATGAATCAGATCTTCACTGAATTTTCAATTCAGAGCAATTCAGTCCAGAGCAATGCTACTGACTGCAGTAGGTTATTCCTGGTTCAGCCCATAGCTGCTGAAATACCTCCTGTCCCCACAGAAACAGCCCTGCACCGACACAGCAAAACATTCAGAGGAATTGCCAGAGTTCACAGCTCAGCATCCTTTAGAGCTGAAAGGCTTTAGAGTGAGAAACACGGGTGACTCAGAGTTCACACTCCAAACAGAGCCTCTTACAGAGCAAGAAAACTAAAGAATTCTCTAATACTGAAATTCCTCAAAGGCTTTTTCTGAATTTGATCTCTCACTCTCTAACCTGCCAGTAAAAAGAAAATCTCTATGAAATTACAGAAATTTTCACAAAGAACTCCGCGGGGGATAAGATTCCTCGTGTCTGTCCCCTAGCTAAAGTGACAGCTCCTGGATTTATTTCAATGCAGACAGAACCAACATCTAAGTGATTTTATTCACTTTTTTAATCTCTTGATAAGAATGCAAATCCCATGCTTGCTCCTACTGCCTCTCTCACCCTCTCAAAACAGGCTGTTTATGGTGACTAAATGCTTCTATTCAAAACTGGCTTTCATCCAAAACCAGATGGGCAGAGAGCCTAAAAGCAACAGAAAACTAGCAATTTATATTAGGCCRTAGTGCTGCACCACACAAAATGCTTTGTTTAAACTAGCCGAGCTCTGTGTCCTCTTAAATAGATGTAAATAACCAGCTCGTGTGGGTTTCCACAACAATGTTGGCATATTTCAAAACACTTAAACAGGCTTCAGACACCTCCTCAATACCTGCTCACCCTGTTGGAGAGCTAACCATGGAGAGCTAACCACTTTCACCCGGAGTGGATTTTGTACTACTTAAGATCTATTTTAGGGATCTGTTTGAGGGAAGGAAGGACAGCCTGTGACCTGATAGGTGTTTTCCATCTGCAGTATGATGATAAATATGCCTCTGGTGTTCAGCCTTGCTTCCTCTGGCTGCAGCTTTGTGGCTGAAAATGAAACAGGTGCTCAGTGAGCACGCACACACACTGTGCCTGCGGGTCCCTGGAGCTGAGCTGGCTCCCTGGATGTCCCCACAGCAGGATGTGACCATGCCTGCGATCATTTTGGTACCTGTACTTCACCCTCCTGTGGCTCACGGGCGCTCAGTGGGTGTTCCCTGGAGCAAAACGRCTCCTGTGAGTGACAAAGCTCATTCCCCAGAGCCAGTGTCTGACATAAACTGCTCACATCGATGCTCTGAGGTTTGTGAGCAGCGTCCTGTGGCAGACAGGGGAGTTTCCAATGGCTGTGGCTGGGTCCTGCCTGCACGGGTGAATGGGCAGGRTTCGAGCTCAGATTTGATCACTAGATTAGAATATCCTAAATGTAAATTAAAACATTTACACACTGAATGCTTGGTGATGTTTTCTAGCCCAGGAAGACATGAAGGCAGAGGATGGGAGATGGTTTGCTGATGGTAGGCCCTGTGGAGACAGGCTGGGGCTCCTGCCAGCTTCTCTCAGGACATGCAGCACATTTGCTCCAGACAGCTTGGGGCCCTCTTGCTTCCTCATTACATTTGCTATTTGCTTCTACCATTTCCTTTTCTTCCTGATGTTAAGGCTGCTGCTTGCTGTGTAATTCATTAGATCTGTCTTTGTGTCAGATCTTTCAGTTATGCCTTGTGCTCTGCAAAGGCATGTTGCATTGTTATTTTTATTTTAATGYGTCTCACCAATCTTGTTGTGCCATACCCAGATTAGAGTGCTGTCTGGGTTCTAAATATATCCAGTCAGTGGCTTTAATGGTGGTTTTAATCACAGGAATAATAAAAGTGAATGTTATATGTTGAAATGTGAGCCATTTACCTGTGAATTTCAACCTTAAGGGCATTCTCTGTTTTCTTTCCAAAACAAGTGCAATATGTGTGAGAAATCAGCAGTCCATCTTTGTTCCTATTTCTACACTCCAACATAGAGAGAAGCATGATATATTTCTCTAAAGTTGCAAAATAGTCCTCTAAAAACAAATTAATTAACTAACTAACAGCTTGAGTGATCACTTTGTAGGTGAAATGGTTTCTRTCATTGGGAATCAGATGTATTTGCATTATTCCTCAGTGGCTTACAAGTTGTATATGTATTAGTACATCTTAAGTTTTCTAGTGAGATTACTTTGCTGTGGGTTAATTTGGTAAGTAAACGTTCTTTGTGGTGTGTTGGTATGTAAGACACAGAACAGGCCTGGGAAATGCTTGGAAGCCCTTGGGCAAAAGGAAGGAGCTCCTTTTCTCTTCTTTGGAGCTGGCACCTAAAAATGATCTGTGRGTCCCTTCCTGAGCTAAGTGCTTGTACCTGCCACCTGCACCTACCTGTAAAAGGGAAACTGCCTAATTCCACCTGCCAAAAAGGGGCTCTTTGCCTGAAAATGTATTCTTGTAACACTGGCTCCAGCTGGTCTCTTGGAGCCCTGGTGGAAGCCCTGGTCCACATTTCCAGCAGATATCAATGATACCAATTCTTTCAGAGACACTCAGGCCTCCAGGGAGTTGTGGGAGGCGAGCTCTCTCCCTCCCACATCAGAGATACTGTCTGAAGCCAGGAGGGTGAAAATCTCCCCTGCTGAGGAAGCATTGATCACACCTGGGTGCCCAGGAGCTCCTCCAGGAGATGAATACTTCCCATTTTTGTTATATTAAATTACTGTTTTTAATGAATCAAAGAAAACAAGCACGCAGAGCTGGATGGTACCCAAGGCTCRTGGAGCACACCTGCCTTTTCTGGGATAGCATATACAGGTGTTGCYCGAATTGAAGCATCTGTTTGTGTCACAGATGTTTGGTTGCTCTGGAGGGCATGACAAGGGCTGCCATAAACTGATGTTAGGTCAGCTGCCCCTCGGCCCCCAGKGAGGAGGGCAGGGAGCAGGCAGCTGCTTAGGGCAGCACTTCCCAGGCTGATGCTCCCTGAGAAGTGCCCTGTTTGTCCCAAACTTTCCCAGGTGTCATTTTGACCAGGCCTTTTCCCCTGGAATATTCCTGGGCTGTTTCACCTTTCCTGCTTAAACAATAAAAATGGCTTRTTTTTCAAAATTCAGTCTGAACCATCTGAAGAAAATTGTTTAATACTGTAATTGTAATTAATATTGTAACATCCTCTGCCCATATCATTGAAAGCAGTGAGTCTGGGGGTCCTGTCTGAACCAGTTCCTTCATGCCCAGATGCTGCACCTCATTCTTAGATAAGCACTTTGAAGACAAGCAAGAGTTAATTCTTTATAGCAAATTCGGTTGCCGTGTGATGGCAAACACGGACACCTAGTGGTACTCCGGGGCAGGGCATGGAATGCTCTAACCAGCTCTCTGCGAGAGAAGCTGATACAACAGAATATTTGTTCACATTTTCCCCTAAAAGAAGGAGAGATTTGATTATTTTCAGAGAAGATATTATAAATAGCATAATTTGGGTGACAGAAAGTTTACTTAGCATGGAACTGTGGAAGAATTAGGAGAAAGTCATCACTTTTGGCAAGGTATGTCCATGTATTTCACAAGAAGTAATCAGGTTTTTTCTTTGTGTCTTAAATATCCCACACCATACCAAATCAAAATGCCATATTAGATCAAGAAGATTTTCTACTCTTCAGATTGGTCCATAGCAAAGAAACCTCAGCAGATACTCTAGCAATATCTCATCTTACCATCCTGTGAATGTCTGGACTCCATTTCTGGGGAGATCCTCAGCATGATGAGTGGTGTGTTTGCTGATGAACTGCCCAACCAGGTGCTACACTGACCTCTTGTGTACTTCCCTCAGTGCACTGAGCTCTTTCTGCCAGGATTAATGCCAGCACTTTGTCTGAATGGCCTSGAACAGCTGCCATGGTTTGTTTTGTTTGGTTTTTTCTATTTATTTACAAATAATCTTTCAGAGAAATATTTCCTTCTTCTTCCCCAAATCTAGCATTTCGTCTACGGCAGAGACACAGGACAGGTGAGAACCAGTCCTTGTCCACTGACCCCTTTCTGTAATTGTGGATATCACCCCTGTGAGTGGGATTTCTTTCATGTCACAAAAACCCTATGCCACTGAGTGGGGAGACAGGCTATTCCCATGGGAGAATGTATTTGGGGCCGCTTGGGCTAAAATAAGGGATTTTGAGATTGTGCCAGCTCAAGAGTGAAGTCTCTATAGAGATGTGTGTGCTCTCCTCAAAGGYTCCCCTATTCAAGTTGAAAAGCAGACCCCAGTTTTTACTGATTTTGGTATTACTGAGCCTCTGRCAAGATTTCTTCCAATTCAATTGTATTTACAAGTTGTTCATTTAAAATCATTGTATATTATCCTTAGTTTAAACTTAATATCRTAAGAAACTAAGTTTTATAGTATTATGCTTGTTTACTATTCTCATTTTAATAGCTTTTAAATCAATGAACCAATTTCTATCAAATTTCAATCAAATTTCTATCAAATTTGACACTGGAATAAGGACCCCAAAGATTCCTGCATACTTGAGGAAAGCAGGCAGCACACAGGACAAAGAAGGAGGGCCCCAACAACAGGCAGACTGCAAGAAATCCACATCACAGAGGAGCATTAAGAAAGATTCTTCAGGCCAGAAAAATTTAGATTCATTCTCACACCTTTTTAGACACACAAGAATCCAACTCAAAGATGAAATTCTCCTAAAAAAACCCCAAGATTTGTTAAAACAAATCTGTACGATCACTTTTTCTGTATGTACACACAAGTGTTTACATTCCCAGTCCCTGGCTGCACAGAGACTGATTACACAGAGACCAGTGCTGTTCTTCGAGAGTCACAGGGTGTGAGGCTGAAGGAAAGCAGCAGTTCCAGCACTCAGTACGGAAGTAAAATGATACATTTATTCCTAGGTACAAATCCTGAAAGTCAGCATATAATCAATCACTCCATGTTTATATATTTACACCTCTGGGTTCCATCAGAGAACATGGGAGGAGCTTTTCTGCCCCATCAGGGTTTCCTAGTGTCCCAAGAAGTCCCTAGAGCAAGTTTGGGAAGACGAGGGTATGTTTCTTGTCTTCCAAGAGAAGCTGTTTCCTCACTGCACTGGTGGCATGTTGGAATGTGTCTCACTCATGGTGCAGAGGGATGAGCTGGAATTTGTCACATCACGAGGCACAACACTTAGGCAGCCTGGGCTATTGCCAGTCTAGAAAGTGACCCCAGAAATTAAAGCAACAAGAAAAACCCCAGGTTTCTGATGGACACTCACAGCTAGAAAATTCACAGCTCAAAAACTACCCCACAGCTAGCCTTCAAAAGGTTACTGGGTGGGTGGCTTTGGTGTCTCACTTCAGCCCAGCAAAATCAATAAGAAGTAAAGGAAACCAGGGCCACAACATGTTGAACTTTGACAAAACAAATTATTAACTTGGCTTCTAAGGAATACAAATCTTGTCTTTGCCAGTGTAAATATGATGCAAAGATGATTGCTTTTATCCTACCCTCTCTAACGTCTATTCCTTTTCTTTTTTTTTTTTCTTTCCTGTTGAACCTGGGCAGTTGTCTGGAGGGTGTGAACTAACTGTGGTGCTCCAGGACTTTACAGCGGGCCACAGCAGCGAGCTGAGCATTCAGGTGGGGCAGACAGTGGAGCTGCTGGAGAGGCCGAGTGAGAGGCCAGGCTGGTGTTTGGTCCGGACCACGGAGCGGAGCCCACCCCAGGAGGGGCTGGTCCCCAGCAGCGCTCTCTGCATTTCCCATTCCCGCAGCAGTGTGGAGATGGATTGCTTCTTCCCTTCAGGAAAAGGTAGGCAATGGTCCAGCTGGTTTCAAACTGTTTCGGGCTTTCCCTTTTGTATCGTGTAAGTGCAAAGCTGCTTGGGCTGCTCCTGCAGTCAGTGGGTAAAAGGCTGTTCAGTCCTTGGTGAGTTTTGTTGCCAGGTCCCTGTGAATGGGCACAGCACCAGCCTGACTCCATGTCCATGAATCAGTGTTCGTACTTGTGCGTCTTTTGCTATGTGGTAATCATTGTCTTGAGATTCTGAATACAAATAACACCTTTAAACAACAAAAGGGACTGATTTCAGTGCCTTCAGGAAGGCACTGAAGGAGGGAAAGCCATGCTGTCTATATACCCAGGATGCCCCAAATTGTGGCTATGTTATTTTATGACTGCCAAAGTGCACACTAGTTCATGTTCTTGAAGTATATCCCTGTCTGTAATTGCAAAGAGGCCACCAGTGAGTACTGGTACACTCTACAGCCTTGTGAACTGSAGATACTGTGTGTACAATGGGAAAAGAATCCTTTACAACCCATGTGGAACAAAACATATCACTGGCATTATCCTGAGAGCTTGGGCTTCACTCACAATGGTTGGCGAAATACTGTTTGTCTCTGTGGTGTCTGTGGCCTCTTTAGTTGATGTTCTGTTCTGAGCAATCTGTGTCCCACATGCAGTATCCATGCTTAGGAGACACTCCAGACTGATAGACCAGGATTAGTTCAGCTCARTGTGGTCAGAACAGGTCTCCTTTTGGCTGTGGCYCCACTTTGAGCAGTGTGCAATGCAMGAAAGGCCCAGGGAGGAAAGGCTCCTATCATCCCACTCCCAACTGGAAGCCTGAAACATGAACTGTGTTTTGAATTATTTTTCCACTTAGCATTAAGAGAAGTAGAATTTGATCCATTGTTGSTTGAGCAAGTTAGGCTCGGTGGTTTTGTTTGTTTGGAGAAAAAGCACTGAAACTGAGCTGTAGTTTGTCCCCACTCCCTGCCTGCACTCCCACTGCGGAGGCTGGAGTGGGACACACGCCCAGGACAGGGCAGCGCCGTGGGGCCAGCGGCTGCTATCAGAGTTCCCTTCGAGAGGATCTSATCCAAACCCGGGGGAGGAGAGCTYAGCTTCTCCCAGATTTGATCCCCTCAGCTGTCAGCTCTGTCTGCAGTGTGAACTCCAGACTCCTGCACTTCCTAGGCCTGCTGCCACCTCCTCTTCCTCCCGCCGCATTCCCGGGGCCCGGCCCTGCTGCTGCCGCCACGGGAACATGTCCTGGCCCTCAGCCGAGAAGAGCTGYAGTTGCTTACATGCTAATTATCTGTGAATTAACAGAAAGGTAATGCTGGAAATCATGAAAATGAGCCTGTGTAAGAGTAGTCAGTGCCTGGCATGACTCACGGGGAGTGGGGATGTGGCTGCTGTCTGCTCAAGGGCACTGGGAGACACCACTCAAACTGCATTGGAGAGCCAGGCTGTGGAGCTTTTCCTTAAATGAAATAAAACTAAAAATGGCAAGAGYAGGGAAGGGAAGGTAGGAAATCCTGAGGATAAAGGCAGGGTGGTGCAGGGGGCTGAGGTGGGCAGGGCACATGAGGATTGTGCTTTTGGTGTGATTTTATGAGTTTCAGGGCACAATTGCACCGTGGGTAAGACARGATGGGCACAGGGCTGGGCTGTGGYGGTGGCCCAGAGCCCACTGACGGCTGTGTCAGCACAGCACCAAGGCTTTGCTGGCATGTTCTGCCTGCCTGTGGGCAGGTTTTCTCACCTATCTCACTGCCATAGCTCCCAGTGCTGCCTCTGGGCCCGGCATCTCAGAGCCAGTGCTGACTGAGTCTGGGGCCGKCTGGCTCCAGCCATGTATTCATGGCCTTTATTTCCTTTATATCTCTTTCCCTCTTGGCCTCAGTTTTCTTCCTGCGCATACCAAAGCTGTATCAGGGAGCCTCAGAATTAATGGGATCTCCAGAAGTGCAGCTAGAAATAATAAAAATAACCACCCAATCCACAATTTTGGCCAGACTACAGCAAATAGGCTCTGTGTCTAATCAGTTCTCCCTCCATTAGGAAAACAGGAAATTGTTTAAACTGAATGAACAGATGCTGGGAATAAMGAAAGAGGAGTAAGTTTAAAGGGGAAAATGCAGTAGCTGCTGAAAGAGCTGCTGGTCTCATGAGGTGCTGGAAAGATTAGCATGATAAATGTTTCTGACTATTCGGAGTTGTGCCCTTCCCTACTTCCAGTAGCTTTAGGCACAGGTTGCATGCAGAATCCCTTGGTCCAGGCTTCCAAAAATTCCTTGCTTTTCTCTACAACCCAGAACAAAGGCTGGCACATCTTATATCAACATTAATAATGTTACTGGTCTGCTTCAAGTATGTAAACATGCACAGTTGCAGAAAAGCAGGTTAATAGCTGAWTTTTGCTTGCAATTACCAAGGCACATAATTCTTTGCTTTTACAAGCACTGTAATTTCAAGAACAGAAAGTACCTGTACTCAAAACTTAACATTTCTAATAATAGAATTTGCCATCTATTTTAGAAACATGCAAAGTTTTGCCAAGTATCAAAACATAGTTACTTCTGCATAGAGGGAAATGGCAAATTACTGTTTGGTCCTATTTAACTAATGGTGTAGTATAAATGTAAATCGTGGCTCACAGGAGCTACCTATTGTCCTTAAAGTGAAAGAGTAAAGAAGGTAGTGTGTCAGTCAACACCTGAACAGATGAGGTCTTGAAAGATTTGGTGGGATCACCAGAACATTTAGTAAAGCATCAGTGCAAGTCCTCATCAAGCCTTTCTGAACAGTCCAACTGAAAAGCCACTGGAAATACAAAACCAAACTGCACAACTGAGCATGTGTTCTGTCTGGCCCTTCCTCACTCTTTTACARTATTCCTTTGAAAATAGGTGATGAATTAAAGTAAAATATTGCAAAAGGAAAGATGTGGTGTGAATATAACGGAACAAACCCAGAAGAGAACACTTCCTACCTTTTGTAATTAAATATCTGTACAGATCTCTCTTGYTGATCAGTAAAAGTGCAGAGACTTTAAGGACTGGTGTCCCTGCCTTCCGTCTGAATCCTGGCTTTGTTCCTTTGGAGGATACACATTTGATTTTTTTTCATGACCTGACTRCAGCTCAGAGCACAAGTATCCTCCTTCTTGTCCTTCCTTTCAGATGATCTGACAGTGTTTGCAATTACCCTGTGTGGAAAGGCAAACAGGTTTCTGGGATTAACCTTTTGCAAGTGATATACAGATGACTGAGTAGAAGGAACTTGTCTGCAGTCCCTGTTACTGGACTCCAGAACTTGCAGGATGTTGGTTTTTTCTGACTAGCATCCCTAGGAAGGAAAAAGAAAGATCTCTGGTACTAGAAGTGAAGCTCTGTTTGARCTGTCCCACATGACTAATTACAGGAAAGCTGTGAATTTATTTCTGTGTCTTTTACTCTGTAATTGAGCTCTAAGGTATTAAGCTATAAATTKCAAATTGAGAGAGAAAGCCACCTGAATAGAAAGCAACTTAATGACCTCGCCAATATTGATTAAGCACACTGAGCCAAGCATATTCCTGGTGTCAACCTGGTAACTTTGACTGAGTGGTTCCAAATTTGAATTTGGCCCATGAACCAATTRGATGAAATCTTGATCTTAAAAGTCTTTGTCTTATGACCCTTCATACAGTGTTTTTCTTGTAACATCAAATACACAGAGTAGGAAGAACAAAGGTTAGTTCTTGCAGTAATTTTAAGCAACCTCCATCACAAAAAGAAGAGGGCATTAAAAAAAATAGGGTTTCATGGCACTTGTTTTGGATTGATGAAACGTGACAGGAAGGTCACGTTCAGAGCCTCAGACCAGATACTCCCCACAYGATACTTGTGTCTGGTACATACCTCTGGAGGAGATCAGGAATATATTTTCTAAAGATGCTGTGCAAACATCTTGCTGTACAGGCAGAATGCCACTTAACAGCAGGGCTTTGGTAGCAGTAGTGGGTCTCCTTGTACCAGACCAAACCGAGAAACAGCTGGATCTCTTCCAGCAGAAGAGGAAACACAGATCTGGGCAGGAGGGACAAGAGTTTCAGTGCTGTGCCACTCACAGCTCACGCTTTTGGGGATCACCCAGAGCCTGAGAGAGCCTGGGGCTGGTGGGTGCCATGGCAGCCTGGGCTGGGACAGCAGGAAGCAGAGTAAGGGTTTAATAATGCTGGTAAGAAGAGTGATATCAATGAAAAAGAGATCACACTGAGACCTGCATTTGGATGACTTCTCCATGTGGGAAAGAGCAGGTCATTTCATGCATTAAGTGTGCAAAGCTGGTGAGGCTAATCCAACTCTCACCATGTTTGAAAGACTCTTTCCTCCAGTTCCTGATCTCAGAAAGATCATCTGTGTGGAGAAAACCATAATTGTTTCTTCCCACGTCTGTGTTTTTTAATATCTTAGATTTTAGTGCAGGAAGAGTCTGAGCTGCTTTTGTTACATCTCTGTTCCTGTTGAGCTTTAAATTGCGATCTGCATTGGCTCATGCACTTTCTCTGCTGTGTTTTAAACAACCTCTGCTGCAAACATGTTCAATGGTAATGATTCCTGATGTCCCAGGGGAGCTGTGTGAGGACAATTGAGAAGTTTTAGTGCTCTGCATCAAACCTTCATTTGTCCTTGTGGAGGCTGAGGAATTGTTTTTGGTTTTGAAAGTCTTAATGAAGAGCAGTCGATTAAATTGTTTGTAAGGCTCTGAACTAAAGGAAACATTTCATTAGGTAACACAGTTGATTTAACTGGTACATAAGCTGGTCATGGGGTTTYTATTAAACAAACAATGTTCAGGCTGCCRTTGTCAATATAAATATGCWATATTTAAATAAAAATACAGGYCCTCACCTCTGTTCCTAATACTGATCCAACAAGGGTGTTCAGAGTCAAAATTTTGTCATATAGGCTGTCTTTCAAGAGAGGTCATATGGACCCGTTCTGCTGGCATTGAGTGCCTCATGGTGTCCTTGTTAC